AAATTCTAAAATGTCTCATTGGTGTATTAATTAGGAATCTGAAAAATCAGGAAATTAGAAATTATTAGGAAATCAAAAATTATTGCTGAATAATTAGGAATCTGAAAGAAGTTTTATTTGTTTGCTTTTATACTCTATTTTAGTTATTTTGTGAACTCTCACTTCATAACATTTACAAATATAGCGCTGACTCTTCTCAAATAATCATTATTTATCACTATTATTATTTACGCGTTCGCGCTAAAGCACTGCACGAAAGGGAAGGTTGCCTTCGTGGAGGACTTTCTAGGAGAAACTGGCTCGGTATTAGCATGTTAGACATGAGGGAAAACACGAAAATGCCCATGCAGCCAGCCTGTTCGCGGGATTCGAACGTCAGACCGAACTAGCAGTGTCCAGGGAATTTACCGCTTGGCCGCTGATGAGACTAATAATCATTATTTGGAGTGTTATTTTAACTTAACATACCGTCAGAGGACATCATTTGATAAAATCCAACAAAAAATCCTCGATATAGAATAAGAAATCCACTTTATAGAAATAAACCTGGTGAATCTCTTTCTTTAAAGGAAAAATTAATAAAATAACCAAGTTTACATAAGCACACTCACTGATCGTAACCATTTATTCTTTTCTTTTTTATTAAGGGGAGTCATACACCTTAAACCCTTCATGATCTTCGAATATGTGACTGTTGCAAGAATTGGAATATTTTATTTATTTTAAAAGAAATTACTTCCAATCTTTTACAGTTGACTACATAATATAGCTGCTTTGGAAACTAATAACCAGAAAGTTTGTGTTGCCACAATATTTTTGTAATTAATCCTCTTTGTGACAAAAAATTTTCGCCATTGTCCCTCCACCTTGCAACGCATGATATTTTAAAATGGCTAATGGTACATACTCGAAATTGGATGGAATTCTTTATATGGGCACTATTTTTCTATTTCTAACTGAACCAAATATATGATAAATATTTTAATACTGAAAAATTTTATGGACGAAAACATTACAAATTTTTTTAATAAAATACATTTTATAAATGGAACTCAAAATAAAATAAAAATTTCACATAAAATTTTTAGAATTTTAGGTTCACAGTAGTTTCCAAATGTTATAAAAGCTATATATTAAATATGGAATTAAATTATGAAACAGAATGTTTTAAACCGTGCGCGCAAGTTGGAAACATGAAGAAATATGTTGTCACAAAGCGGATTAAATTATAAAAATATTTGTGGCAACACAAACTTTCTGATCACTATTTCAAAAAGCAGCTATATTATGTAGTCAGCTGTAAAAAGTTGGTAGTAATTGCTTTTAAAATAAATAAGTTATCCCAATTCCTACAACAGTCACCTATTCGAAGATCTTATGGGTTTTAAGGTGTATGAGTCCCCATAAGAAAGAAGAAAAATGCAAGTAGGGAACGCTTAAAAAATTACTTTCTAAAAGGCTAATAATTAGATAAAGTAGAATAAATCTCTAATTAAAATTTAAAAAATGTCTTTAATTACAACACTGCTTTTTTTCCGATTCTGGAGCAATTTACACCGCTGGTGGAAACATTACCACAGTAAAAATTTATTTTATTCTCATTTTTTTACATACCCGAAATTTTTTAAAATTTAAATCACTTTTTTAAGACCCAAATAATTTAATTAATGCTGTCGGAACACTTGTCGTAGAATTTAGGGCAATTACATATACTTTTTAATTTCGAGGATAGTTCTTGAAATTTATTCGATTGAGTATGAAGGAAATAATTCTTTTATTCATAAGTAATTAATTATTCTTTTATTGAGAGTTCATTTATTAAGCAATTTAATGAAAATTGTGGGTGGTTTACTGATTTGGTGCCGAAATTTAACGATGTTATTTCTTTAATCTGCATAGAAGAAATGCATAATTATGCAATTAGAAAAATCTCACATCCCAAATCTTTTGCTAGGGGGTTACTTTATATTCTTTCTTATGCTGGAGGTGTCTTTAAAAACTCATTTTAGTTTTACAGAAGTATATAAACTACTAATTAATTGTAAATCATAAACTACTAATTGTAAATCTTACTTTTAATTGCAAATATATAGCAGTGTGAAATCAATGTTTTTTCAGCAACGAATAGTTACCGGCAGATTTGCTGCTATTTGCCAATTGCGTATTTATGCAGATTCATCTGTCTACGGAGTTTATCAAATAATAGGCTTTTCTGTAGCAAAAGCAACAAATTTTACTCATACTGCTTTTATATACATTTTCATTTTCTATTTAAAATATTTAAAAGAATAATCCCTAATTTCTATTATAAAAATAACAATGCCATTTGAAATTCCAAAAATGTCGTTATCTTTAATTAAATTAACTACAAATTTAATTAAATTAATTAGTTTTAATTAAATTTCAAAAAATTACAAATCGTTAGCTTTCTTTAAACCGAAAATATTAGGTTACTAGTAAACACTTTTTTGCGTGAGGGAGAAAAATCCATTATATGCTTATCTTATAATTTAATAATAAGCATTTATTCTTTTTTTCTGCCTTTATCAAACCTATAAAATTACCGAAATGAAATTAATCACAGACATTTTGTCAGGCACATTAGTTAATGTTTTTTCAAGGATTGCATTTGTATAGTTAATTTCATTTAAAACGATGATCTTTCATTTAAGGACGTATCATTTATTGTTTTGGCCTAGCAGTGGCCAAGCAATAAAGTCGCTGAACACTGGTTCCTGGCCTTTAATCCAGGCGGACGGCTGGCTGCATGAGCGTTTCGGCGATTTTCCCTATGTGTAACGTGTATACGAGCCAGTTTCTCTTAGAAAGTCCTCCCCGAAGGCATCCCTCCCCTTAAGCAGATAGCCCTCATGCTTAATTCGTGTAACATACGTAATTCAGTTTCTTTGTACACGTGTATAAGCTCAGGGTATTTCAGGCATTTCAAAACGCTAACTGAAGCATAATCCTTTCAGCGACTGGTATTAAAATATGTTAACTTATACCTCTCAACTATATAAACTTTACAGTTGATCAGAAAAATTAGTTTATGACAGACTAGCTTTACCCGCGGCTTCGCTCGCGTTGATATCCTTAAATAAGTTTCAACTCCGCGTAAAATTTCTGTAAATGCGCCGCGGATATTTTGTATTTACGCTTGACCAAAGGGTTATTTTTAGAAATAAAGAACATTCCAGGGGCCCTTAAAATGATAAAACAATGTTTTTATCGCACACTCAACATGTAAAAAAATATAAATGTAATGCAATTTTTCGAGCACAATAACAAAATAATAACACGAATGAATAGTCTTTAAAAAAATACGAAACAAATCTTAAATATATCAACAAAAAGTCGGAATGTGTTAATAATATTCAAGTCGGTAGAAATTACTGATTTTAAAATGATTTTCCACGTGTAAATTCGTGAACTTTGACCTTTTTGCCAACCCAACGGTCGACCGGATACCAGTTCTCCTCACCTCTCCGTCGCTTTCGAATGGCAGCCTGTCAATAAAGAGTTTACAATAGCAAAGCGGATTATTGTTTCACATCTGTGATTAAACTGGAAATAATTAAGCGACAAAAAAAGTTACACCAACGTTGTGTTCCTAATCATTCAGAGAGCGACACAAAATTCTAATTTCGAGAAATTTGGATAATTAGATCAGAAGTGATAATTTTTATCACCAATTTTATTGGACCCACAAAGAAGACCTAAGAAAAAATCCCTAATGTCCACTATTGAGTTGCATTCCAATTATGTTTTTAGAGTTTTTAATAATATTTCTGATTAAAGTCGTAAGAAGATCAGAATGATTCGATAGATTCCGATGAATTTTTGGATCAGGGGATATGTGTCCTGAAATTCAACTAATGCGTTCCATAGATATTTGTGAAATTATAAATTGGCGCGTAGCCAAATTCCTTTAATAGGGAAAAACCGAAACAAAGTAAGTGAAAAATGTAGGGGAAAAGTAGTTTTTAATTAATATCTCGGCTAATTAAAGTCATACGAAGACATTTTATAGCCTATAACCTTTTCTAATATATCAAAAATGTTTTTTGAAAATTTCATGAGGATCGGTTAAGTAATTAAAGCGGGAAAGCGTAACAAACAAATAAACAAACTCACATTCGCATTTATAATATTAGTAAGGATGATTTATGATGATAATTATTTTCATGAATACACAAAATTAAAATTTTTTATCGTCCATTTAAAGCAAAATGTTCAATTACCAGGAAATTAAATAATGGGGAGTTGGTTATGGAGTTTCAGTTATAAGAAATAGGGATTTTTTCGCCGTTGCATAATGGCGAAAAAATCCCTGACCTGTATCACTCTTCCCCATTTTCAAAGGAATAAATTTTATACATTTTGGGGGAATATGTATAAAGAAGAACATTTCAGATATTTTTTCTTAATTTAATTAATTATTTATAGTATATAAAACCTGACATTCAGTTTTAAAAACTTCATAATAGTACCTTAATTTAATTACTATCTAATATTAAAATATTTAAGAGGTTTTATAAAATTATAATATTTTTTTAAATTATGTAAAACAGTTTCGATTATTGAAAGTCTTTCAGTAAATGTGGTCTAAAATAGTATTTACATTAACACTGAGCAAAACTACTTTCAACAGACGGAAAGTTGAGGAGAAGCTTACTAAATACGATTTTTCATTCTTCCTGAATTTTTAGAGAAATACTAATCTTCAATCATTATTTTTCAAGTTCATAGTATTACGAATTCTTAGAATTTCTATCTTTATTTGTTTATTTATTGACGCGAGATATCATGTAAATTTTTGAGTAATTGAACAATTTTGGTTATGATGAATACATGAAATATTATTTTTATCACTTTAAATTTATTATTATTTAGAAGTTAATAGATAAATCTATTCATATTTGAAAGAACTTTTCCCAAAATTGAAGAACTTATATGTTACAGAAAGCTCTTGTCAATCGCTACTTTCTCTACTGTTTCAGGAACTCCAGAAGAGCAAGCAGCTCGAAGAGTCCATGCGGAAACTGGACATAGAAATGCGGCGAACGGACGAATTGCTGTACCAAATGATTCCGAAACAGGTTGCCGATCGTCTGAGGAAGGGAGAAGCAGCTGTTGAAACATGCCAGGTTGCTTTTATTCTGTGTGCCATTTTAATTTATTTTAATTAAGAATAGACCTAGATCTGATTTCTCCTCTATGGCGGAAATAAGAAATTATAACGTTATTTGCCAGAGATAATGACAGTATAATTGAAATGTAATCAAAATGGAAGCAGAAGACTACCATGGATGATTTGAACCATAACTACAGTTCGTTTGAATGACAATGATTTAACTGATCGATGACTTGCATTATACTAGACTTGATTTTAATGATGCTAAATTGATTGATTGATGATTTGAATGATACTAGATTGATTGATCAATGATTTAAATGATACAAGACTGATTGATCGATGATCTGAATGATACTAAAGTTGATATGAATGATACTAGATTTTTAAAAGTTACTTATTAGGCCTATAAGGAACCGAAATGTTTAGACTCCATAAAAAAAATTGATACGCATTCTGTCCCCAGGGCTGAACAAGCTGGCTGAATGGTGTTTCGTGTTTTTGCCATGCATAACATAAATAGCAGCTAATTTTCTTAAGAAAATATGGTCACTAAGATGTCCTAAAATAAGCAGCTTTACTTTTTTATACTTACAATCGAATCTAAACAAAAATCTTTTGAAATGTAGAATCTTAGCTTCGAATAGTATTAATTTGAGGGTAACTGGAGTTTTCAGTAAAAGTGAAAATGAGAGGTTGATTCAGTATATGAGAGAAATTGATTCAATCGCATTAATTTTAAAACTGAGAACTGCCGATAAAATAAATTCATTAAATATAATTAGCAAGGCTTAAAACTACACTCATGTCCATAAATTAAGGATAATGCAAAATCAGGCAAAGGCAGAGTTAGAAGCAAAACAAATTTGACTTATTTGTAAAGCTTATTTATTAAACAAAAGGTAAACAGCAAAAAAAGATGCTATATGTTAGATATTATTAAAACCATTAGCGATTTTTTCTCCCTGGAGCAAATTACAAAAAAAGACCAAACTTACATGGTTGGTATGATTGTTAATACATTGTATGTCTCCCAGACGATGCAATACAGTCCGTACAACGCCTAGGCATGCTGAGTGTCAAATTATCGATCTGATCTTGGGGGATATTACACCACTCAAAAAGCAATGCTCTCCGAAGTTCTGGTAGACATGTAGGAGGAGGTTGACGGACTGCAACTCGTCGGCCAAGCATGTCCCACACGTGCCCTACTGGATTTAAGTCCGGTGAGAATGTTGGCCAGTCCATCCGGGTGATATCCTCCGATTGAAGGCATTCGCTTACGATGTTTGCACGGTGAGGACGGGCGTTGTCATCCATAAACACAAATTGTGCGCCCATGGCGCCTCAAAACAAACTTACATATTGTTCCAGAATGACGTCCCGATAGATTTGGCTTGTCATGGTTCCAATTTGAACATGCAGGTCAGTTCTGGAACCCAGAATAATTCCACCCCAAACGAGCACTCCTGCACCACTGTAACGGTGTCGTTCAATGATGTTTTCTTGCTTGTAAGGGAACCTCGAGCTCTCCATATGAAAGTCCGGCGCGATTCAGATGCAAGCTAAACCTGGACTCGTCGGAAAACATCACGCAAGCCCACTGTTGCGGTGTCCAGAATCCATGCTCTCTACTGAAGGCTAACCGCAGGCGACAGTGAGTTGCAGTAAGTGGAAAGCATCTGACAGGTCTACGAGCATATAGACCAATCTGCCCTAAGCGTCTATACACGGTCTGCCTTGAAATTGTCGTACTAGTGGCTGACGAGACAGGTCTGAGACTGTGCTCCGCCTGTTTCTTTTGGCTGTAACTGCCAAATACTAGTCCGCATTCAGCGTTGTAACTCTGGGGCGACCTTTGCTGTAACGTCTACTCACATTACCATCATCTTGGAATCGTCGCCAAAGCCTGGAAATGACACTCTGGGCAATTTCAAGTTCGCCTGATACTTCCAGTTGGGTACGCCCACATTCCAGGCGGCCGATAATTACACCGCGTAAAAAATCATCCAAATGCGTCTTTTGTGTCATAACTATTCGGTTATTTCATTGAAATGCTTATAAAGCGCCGGCGAACAATTTTACTTCTTTGACTGTATTCCTTATATATCACTCTCTTACACTTTCGTCATTGTGATGTACCATCGGTGTCGTCTGGTTACTTCCTGAAATTTGCATGTGATTCTTGAAGATGTGTGTAGTGATTTTACAGGTGATATATTTATTTTAGAGTTCGATTTCCGCATGACTCCGAATTATCCTTAATTTAAGGACATGAGTGTATTTTCTACATAGCGTAACTGGCATGCAGCGATTTTCGTAACTGGCATGCAGCGAGATTAAGCATTAATTTGGAAGAAGTTAATGTATCCTCCCCTGTGTATTGGGATTCACAATATTCGTCCCCTGTATCCTTTGTATAATGGTCAATACATTTAAATGCACATAGAAATTCTCAGGTTCGATTAGCAGTGAAGTGATGGCTTATTGTTCAAGATTCCTGTTCACAAGAAATCTAGTGACTATGCGCATTAATGTTGGACAGTGTCGATTCAAAACTTTGTTACACATAAAAATTGGTTCATGATCATTTAAAAAATATTGGGTTACAGTGAAAATGTAGGAGTTCTTATTAGTTATTTTATTTTAAACTATAAATTCTCTAGCAACATTTTTAGTAACTCTATCAACACAAATCTTAAACATTTGTATCTAAAAGTACACCAAGATATGTGACATATTTAAGCATAATTCGATGAGGGTGTTTTTTTTTTTTCACATGGCGAGTGTCTGTCTGAGAAATATCTTAGAAAACTCTATATTTACTTCATACGCACTCTAAACTATCTCGATCAGCCAATTTCATAATCTAGATAAAATTACTAGTTTTACGTAAATTTAGTCAATTCTGTGTTGGGAGCCGTTCTCTTAATTAGATGTTATTAAGGGGGCTCATACCCCTTAAACCTCTTATGATCTTCGAATATGGGACTTTTGCAAGAATTGGGATATTTTATTTATTTTAAAATTATTTCCACCTTTTTACAGCTGACTACATAATATAGCTGCTTTGGAAACTAGTAACCAGAAAGTTTGTGTTGCCACAAATATTTTTGTAATTTAATCCGTTTTGGAACAAAATGTTTCGTCATATTTCCACCTCGCGCGCATGATATTTTAAAAATGGCTAATGGTACATACTTGAAATTGGACGGAATTCTTTATATAGGCACTATCTTCTAACTGAACCAAAAATATGATGAATATTTCAATACAAAAAAATTTTATGCATGAAAACATTACAGATTTTTTTAATAAAATACATTTTATAAACTCAACACCAAATAAAATAAAAATTTAAACATGAAATTCTTAATTTTTGGTTCACAGTAGTTTCCAAATGTTACAAATGCTGGTATTAAATATGGAATTAAATTATGCAACAGAATGTTTTAAACTGCGCGCGCAAGGTGGAAACACGACGAAAAATTTTGTCACAAAGCGGATTAAATTATAAAAATATTTGTGGCAACATAAACTTTCTGATTACTATTTTAGAAAGCAGCTATATTATGTAGTCAGTTGTAAAAGGTTGTAATAATTGCTTTTAAAATAAGTAAGTTATCCCCGTTCTTGCAACAGTCACATATTTGAAGATCTTATGAGTTTGAAGGTGTATGAGTCCCCTTAAAGGTTATAATAGAAAATATAGGTTCTCTTAAGAGATTCAACTTTGATCAAAAGTTATTTTACTTGACATCAATTTACAAACAAAGCAAGAAAATTTTTAAAAATGAATTATTTGAAAGCCATCGAAGGTGTTATTCAACTTTAGCCCTTAGTCTTCCTCTGCCTGTTTTTACAAACAAAAGAATTAATTTTAAATTCCTTGCATAACTTATCCCTTGTAATACTGCATACATTACTCAAACCTTGCAGGACACAGGGTGCCCCAAAAATATTGACCTCAGCTTTTATTAATTAAATATGATCATAGCCATATAATATAAATTGCAAATTTACGTAAAAACAGTACAGAATTTTATGAAACAAATTAAAATTTTCAAGGAATTAAATTTAAAGAAATACAAAACTTGCATTTTTTATGGCCCCCGTACAGAACAGTTCTCAGTTAGAAAAATGTGGTCCATATACTAATAAGGCCATGTACAAAATTTCAGCATTTTTCACAAAAAGCCGCAAATATTAGTTATTCATATTTAGGTTGTAGAGATAGTAGGCTATTTCGAAGCAGGAGACGTGAAAAATGTGCAATGACCCCTCTGGGACTCGAACCACGGACCTCTTGAATACGCGCCGAGTGTGCTGACCGCTACACCACGAAGGTATGCTATGGTTTGGTTTGGTTTGGTTTATTTAATTATGGCAAAGCACACTAGGGCTATCTGCCTAAGGGGAGGAATGCCTTCGTGGAGGACTTTCTAAAGGAAACTGGCTCGTATACACGTTACACATGGGGAAAACCACAAAAACGCCCATGCAGCCAGGCCGTTCGCGGGATTCGAACCTCGGACCGAACTACCAGTGTTCAGCGACTTTACCGCTCGGCCGCTAGTGGACCCACATGCTAAGGAGGTGGGAGAAATACCTTATATACTCTCCCCTTTTAAAGGCTCATTGGGGATTAGGGGACCCAATCGCCAAATCCCGGTGGTGGAAAATCATCATCCACCACCTTTTTTAGTTCGGGCGCCACTGTAGAGATATTAGGCTAGTTCGAAGCAGGAGACGTGAAAAATGTGCAATGCCCCCTGGGACTCGAACCACGGACCTCTTGAATACGCTCCGAGTGTGCTGACCACTACACCACGAATGCATGTTAAGGAAGTGGGAGAAATACATAATAAGGTAAATAATTAATTAAAATTATTGCAAGATTAAACTTTGCCTATATATATATATTTTCTCTATTACTATGTTATTTAGAAAATATATGTATAATGAATAAAATTAAAATTGAAGTTTGAAATTAGTTTACTTTTCCCTTTTTTT